CCCCACACCCCCCCCCCCCCTCCCTCTCCCTCCAATTCCAATGGGTTTATTCACAGCTTGCGTCTAGATGCCTTTCTCTGCAGTCAGTTTATTTGTGTTTTCAAAAAATAGAAGTCAGGTGCATCTAGGAATCGATTTTAACATCTAGATGGACCAAAACGCACATAAATACATGTAGGTGCATGTAAACACATGTCAACATGCATAATTTAAAGCATCTAGAAGCATAAACACAGCATCTAGCTTGCCAGATTTTCCCTCTGCATGTACAATACATAAATGAAGTTTAAGAACAAGGATTTCAAAAAATTAACTACCCTCACAATGCAAGGGTTAACTACTCGTTTTTCTCTGGGGGCAAAAATAAAAAATAAATTCTTATCCGATCTTTGGTCCTGCCTAGCTGCCAGACTGGTCCCTGCAGCCTCTTCTCTCCCAGGCTCTGGCGGTCTAAGGACCCGTAATGTCATCACATCCAATACAGGTCTATTATACATGAAGACGCTGAGGGACATACCACAGACGGAGTGGAGGGGGAGATATGTGAATGGTTACTGCTGCAGGAATCAGGGGAGCATCTCCTTTATTTTCACCCCTATATAAAAACGAGCAGTTAACCCTTGCAGTGTGGGGGTAGCCCCACTGCAAAGATAATTTTTTTAAATCCTGGATTTATTTAATTCATTAGGCTTTCAGTGTGGGGAAGGAGTCTACAGTTGGAGTGTTTGGAAATCGCTCTCCTGCATCACAAACAGGTAAGAGTCTTCCGATAACCAGATTGCTAATAAACGGAATAGAAGTGAACTGCTCAGGCTAAAACCCCAAGCAGACAGTTCCCTGTATGCATTTTAAAGCTTTATTTTTTTATTTTGACTGGAGCATTTCTGGTTCATGTAATATGTGCAGTCCTATGGAGTTGTGAAAGCTGTAGCAGTAACTGCAGTGCATACATATTTCAATTTGGTCATTTATGTATATATTCTTTACTTGTATAGTCAAGAATGAATTGGCAAAACCTGCAGGGCAATATAGATATCACAGCCCCATATATAAAGATCAAATAAACATACAGTGGTACCTCGGTTCACGAGCGCTTCTGTTCGCGAACAATTCGGTTCACAAACAGGAAGTTCAGCAAAATGTTGCTTCCGTTCGCGAACTTCGCATCGGGTGACGAACACAACCGCAGCCATCTTCCCTGCTCTGACACATGGTCGTGGCTTCCTCTAGTGGAGATCGCGGTCTGATCACAGTTTGATTCGGTTCGCAACCATATCAGTTCGTGACCAGAATCGTGGAACGAATTAAGTATGTGAACCGAGGTACCACTGTATTATCAAAATTGGGGCTTTAAAGGTATCATACACCACACAGGTACAAGACATTTGTAAAAGGATAAAATATACCAGCTTTATTATTAACATTAAAATTCTTATATTATTGGTCATTGAACTTGCCATGGCTTCATACACGGTTGTGACTTCACAAAGTGTGGTTTATACCTTGTACGGTTATTCTTGCTGAGGATCTTGTTGGAGTTTGCTCGACCATGGTTGGAGGGGTGATTTTATATGATTTTGTATATTTAATATAGGAATGTTAATGTTATTACTAAAGCTGGTATATTTTATCCTTTGTATAAAATGTCTTGTAGTCCTATGTGGTGTATAATACCTTCAAACCCTCAATTTTGTTGCTATGTTTAATTGATCTTTACTTGTATAATTCCTTTATTTATTGCAGGGTAATAACAAATATAAAGCCTGTAAATACTAAGCATCCTCTTTTTTTGTTTAGCAAATTCAAAATTTTTACAGTATTGCTCTAATTTTGTATTGTGTTTGCATTATACAAAGTAACAGTGTATAAAGATGCCGGCTCTGACGCCATCAAAGTCTGCAAATTCAGGTTTATGACTGAAAGTTACTACAATCAACAAACACCAAAATAAGTATAGTTTGTTAGCTTCAACAACTTCAACTTCATGGGTGAGCCTGCTCTGATACATTCTTTGGTTTGAGTATTTTAATTAAAGTCTGGGTAGGCAGAAAATGGGTATGTAAAGTTGAAGGAACTAGAAAGGACAAAATGCTTATACAATTATAACTGTCATTGGTTTGCACATAAGGCTTCGGTGAAAGGTGGAAGGGTAGAGTAATGTTGGAAATGTAAGGTTTTACATACTGTATGTCTTAATACTTACTTTAAAAAATATATGTGCTTAAATACCTTGAGTACTGACTTTTTCTTTATGTCCTTTTTGGATGACAGGCCTGTAGTTTGTCATGCAAATTCAACAATACCTGGCCCCGAGATTTTTTGTGCAAAATGAAAAATGAAACTACAAAATTAAATTGCACCATTACACGCACCAAAATGTCCAACACCTCTAACACCTCCCTTCAGACCACCAGTTACAGATTACAGATCCCAAAGGGAAGATTGTGAGCAGCCTCAGTCTGTACAGTAGCTTGTTCTCTTGGTGGTTAGTGATGGGCAAACTTACTTGGTTTTGATTTGCGGGTGCATTTGAAGCCCAAATCTTGGTAATACTTTTTCTCCATTTTCAAGATTAATAGACAAGGGATTATTAATTATGATTATGAAACAAAGGGCACGAACAGCTGAGCACTGCCCTGGGAAACATGTACCAATGCAAAAAAAATTAAAATGACTGCTTAGCAGAGAGATGGCACCCCTTATGCGACTGTCTACTGTTCACTTCAATCAGAGGATGCGGCTGATCTCCCCTTTGATCACTAAACTTGGAAGTAATGTGTATTACATCACGGTTTCAGGCTGTCATTTCTCTGAGCGCTGTAGCCAGAGAAGATGATGAAACAGATCTCTGCTTCATCAGCTTTTTTGCCGTGACTAGGTGACATTAGGGGTCTAATAGACCCCTGATGTCTCCATAAAGAGGACCTGTCACGTCCTCTCTGCTATTACATAGGGGGCTTGTTAGCCCCTCTGTGATAGCATTAATGTTAAGTTTAAAAAAAAAATGAAAGTCAAGTATTAAAAAAAAAAAAATGATTTTATCATTATTTTATGCCACATCTAATAATACGATGGAGGTGCTATTTGGGTGGTTTATAAATAAATGTGAACTTTTTAAAAAAATTCTCTATTCAGGTAGATTTTTATGCTAGACCATTCTTATGTTTTTTTATCCTTTTTCTCCACAGCTGCACCAATGATTAATTGCAGTACACACACCACAGATACAGAATTCATCTTCAGAGGACTGACTGACAATCCCAACCTAAAGATTCCACTCTTCCTTGTGTTCCTGGCTGTTTATGTTCTTGCCATTCTAGGAAATGTGGGCATTATTGCCACTATTCAGTTAGAATCTGGACTCCACACTCCAATGTACTTCTTTGTCAGTCAGCTGGCGATGCTCGATATTTTTTATACATCCATTATAACACCAAACACACTGTTAAATTTAACCAGAACAGTAAAACCTGTAACCATTGCCAAGTGTGGCACACAGTTGTTGCTCTTTGGAGGTTCAGCGACCACAGAGAGCTATCTATTAGCTGCGATGGCTTACGACAGATTTGTGGCAATACGCCAGCCTTTGTTGTATGTAACTATTATGTCTAGCAGGTTGTGTAAGCTTCTGGTGTGCGGAGCCTATTTTGCAGGGTTTCTAAACTCTACCATCCACATAAGTTTTACATTTGCATTAAAATACTGGAAAGGTAACGTAATCGACCATTTCTACTGTGACATCCCACCCCTCTTAAAACTAGCATGTTCTAATACATTTCTTAATAGGGTAATTATATTTATTTTTGGGGGACTTACAGCTGCCATCTGCATGTCAACCATCCTCTACTCCTATATCAATATCCTGATTGCTATATTGAGCATTCAATCAGGCAGAAGTAAAGCATTCTCCACATGTGCCTCCCATCTGACCTGTGTCTCTATATTTTATGGTTCTTTGATTATTGCATATCTTAGAACCCCATCTGACTATCTGCAGATTAATGAGAAAATCATCTCTGTATTCTATGCGGTAGTAATACCAACTATCAACCCACTGATTTACAGTTTGAGAAATACAGAAGTAAAAGTAGCTGTGAGAAAAATTGTCAACAAATATAATTTTTTTCAGATTTGTAAAAGGAGCTACTAGCATGCTTTGTACAGGTTTTTGTACTATACCTAACATGAAATACGGCTAAATAATGCTGCTGTGTTTACTATACTTGGTTCACATTCTGCTGGCATTGTGTATAGTGTAGGGCTGCTAATGAGGAAGGGCATCAATAATACTCTTGCTGGTAGGGGTAAAACAATAAATGATAGCACCCCTCAAATTCATCATAGAACTTGCAGGTTCTTTTGCAGTTGATCTGCTGTCAGAGGCTCCCACCTGCTACACCCCCACACTACATCACTGGGAGCCTATCCTACCAGCCCTGCATCCAAAAACACTAAAAAGCACTGAAAAGTACTTATCTAGAAAATATAAAAGCCTCCTGATCAGCATGCTGGCCAGTAAAATAGCATTTTAAGAAGGAGTCATCAGTGCCACCCTACCCATATTTCTCAGAACCACTTTCCTTTATTTAGGATATTATTGAATTTGAATAGACTTTGCAATGGCGTTAATAAAACGTGTCAGTGTTCCTTTTTGGTGCTAACCCTTTGAAGGTAAAAAAACTTTACACTGATGTCTCCATAAAGAGGACCTGTCACGTCCTCTCTGCTATTACATAGGGGGCTTGTTAGCCCCTCTGTGATAGCATTAATGTTAAGTTTAAAAAAAAAATGAAAGTCAAGTATTAAAAAAAAAAAAATGATTTTATCATTATTTTATGCCACATCTAATAATACGATGGAGGTGCTATTTGGGTGGTTTATAAATAAATGTGAACTTTTTAAAAAAATTCTCTATTCAGGTAGATTTTTATGCTAGACCATTCTTATGTTTTTTTATCCTTTTTCTCCACAGCTGCACCAATGATTAATTGCAGTACACACACCACAGATACAGAATTCATCTTCAGAGGACTGACTGACAATCCCAACCTAAAGATTCCACTCTTCCTTGTGTTCCTGGCTGTTTATGTTCTTGCCATTCTAGGAAATGTGGGCATTATTGCCACTATTCAGTTAGAATCTGGACTCCACACTCCAATGTACTTCTTTGTCAGTCAGCTGGCGATGCTCGATATTTTTTATACATCCATTATAACACCAAACACACTGTTAAATTTAACCAGAACAGTAAAACCTGTAACCATTGCCAAGTGTGGCACACAGTTGTTGCTCTTTGGAGGTTCAGCGACCACAGAGAGCTATCTATTAGCTGCGATGGCTTACGACAGATTTGTGGCAATACGCCAGCCTTTGTTGTATGTAACTATTATGTCTAGCAGGTTGTGTAAGCTTCTGGTGTGCGGAGCCTATTTTGCAGGGTTTCTAAACTCTACCATCCACATAAGTTTTACATTTGCATTAAAATACTGGAAAGGTAACGTAATCGACCATTTCTACTGTGACATCCCACCCCTCTTAAAACTAGCATGTTCTAATACATTTCTTAATAGGGTAATTATATTTATTTTTGGGGGACTTACAGCTGCCATCTGCATGTCAACCATCCTCTACTCCTATATCAATATCCTGATTGCTATATTGAGCATTCAATCAGGCAGAAGTAAAGCATTCTCCACATGTGCCTCCCATCTGACCTGTGTCTCTATATTTTATGGTTCTTTGATTATTGCATATCTTAGAACCCCATCTGACTATCTGCAGATTAATGAGAAAATCATCTCTGTATTCTATGCGGTAGTAATACCAACTATCAACCCACTGATTTACAGTTTGAGAAATACAGAAGTAAAAGTAGCTGTGAGAAAAATTGTCAACAAATATAATTTTTTTCAGATTTGTAAAAGGAGCTACTAGCATGCTTTGTACAGGTTTTTGTACTATACCTAACATGAAATACGGCTAAATAATGCTGCTGTGTTTACTATACTTGGTTCACATTCTGCTGGCATTGTGTATAGTGTAGGGCTGCTAATGAGGAAGGGCATCAATAATACTCTTGCTGGTAGGGGTAAAACAATAAATGATAGCACCCCTCAAATTCATCATAGAACTTGCAGGTTCTTTTGCAGTTGATCTGCTGTCAGAGGCTCCCACCTGCTACACCCCCACACTACATCACTGGGAGCCTATCCTACCAGCCCTGCATCCAAAAACACTAAAAAGCACTGAAAAGTACTTATCTAGAAAATATAAAAGCCTCCTGATCAGCATGCTGGCCAGTAAAATAGCATTTTAAGAAGGAGTCATCAGTGCCACCCTACCCATATTTCTCAGAACCACTTTCCTTTATTTAGGATATTATTGAATTTGAATAGACTTTGCAATGGCGTTAATAAAACGTGTCAGTGTTCCTTTTTGGTGCTAACCCTTTGAAGGTAAAAAAACTTTACACAGCTAAGTGGTGTAAACAAACAAAATATATGTGTCAAAACAACGAATATAATTTATTTAGACTATTTTGGCATCTCAAACATTTTACAAGGTATTTGTGATGGTTGAAAAAAAACAAAACTATAAAACATATTTTTTGTTTTATTTGAAACAAGACATATTCTACAGGATTTTATTTATTTATATAATTTTACCAGGTTGGCTCAAAACATAGATAACACTAGCCTTCAAGAAATATTTCTGACCAAAAAAAAAGTAGGTTAAAATTAGCATGGCCCTTACAGTGCTGCCCTTTGCCTGACTTTTATTTTTACATGAAAACACCTTGACTTATTATTAAAACAAAATTTTGTATGCAAAAAAAAGTATTAATTTGTTCATTGTGTTAAAAAGGTTCCCACAATTGAATTTCTGTAGACAATTTGTTTGCTAGAATAATTATCTGAAATTTATCTTCCTGTCATTTTGTTCACTTCCCATAATCTTCTGCACACCAGATTTCAGGGTGAGTTGGAAGTGCCAGCGCTGTAAACCAATGTGGTTCAATTGAATGGCTCATTTTAACATGTGACAGGTGCTAGAGGTAATGAGAATTATTGAAAGACCGAAAGGCCAAATGGCTGATATATATTATGAGATATATTATAAGATTTAATCAAATAATTAGTACACGGATAGATTTATCAAAATACCATTGTAGAAATGTAGTGGCGTGCTCCTTTATCCAGATTCAGGTGTAGGTCCCTTTAACTCAACTCCCCACAATCCTCTGGGCTACCAGCATCGCCTGAGCTCCTGAACATGTCCAGGGGATATAAATGCCAGCTCCTCCCAGCTTCCTGTGCTCAGAGAGACCCTGTCTGATGAGACAGCAGTGACTGGGCAAGTGAGCTGTCCCCAGGTGCTGGGTCCTCCCCTGTTAAGTCTGGTGTGCGGACCGCCAGCAGTGAGCAAAAGAGCACGCAGCATCTGTCCAAGCCCCAATCACTGGAGAAGACTCTGTTACAGTCCATTTGGAGAAGCTGTCCATGCAGTGGGGCGGCCCTATCTACAGTCACCAGAACCTCCTGACTGAACCCAGCAGCAGCAGTGCCAGTGTGAAGTCTGTGCCAGCAGGAGATCCACTCAGCTAACAGTTTGTTGAATGAACAATTCCAATCCTGGACACGTGAGATTCTTTATCTCTCTTTTCTCTCAGTAAACTGAACTCAGAACACGCTGCTGCCGACTAGTGGCCATTAGTAGAACTGCGGTAGAATTGTTTTCATATGTTCTATCCCAGTTTTCCATACTGTTCATATTAACGTTTTGTACTGTAAACCCCTGTTCATATGATCCCCTGTGCAATTTATGTTGATTTTCATTGTCTAGTAAAGTAGAAATTGCACATCACCACTGGTCTGATCATTTGGCTGATACCATTACACAACAGAAACACATTATTTAATAAAAAAATTAATTTAATTTTCATGTATAAATTGGGGCCCTGTAATTAACTGCATATCATTTTGTATAAATATGTTCACTCAACAAGTGCAGTGCTTACTGGATGCCAGCTGCTATATGTTAGAAGATATTTAAAAAAGCTATTATGAAAGGTTCTTTGTATATCGTTTTGTAATTTACCACTAAACTGGCCCCTGTAAGCGATCTGGCAGCAGCTCAGCCGCCAGAATTGCTTCCAGTGTAAAGCAGACAGTTGGCTTTACACATGTAAACATGAGTCAGAGTCTGTATAAAGGGGCCAGCTGCCAAGGGCTTATGACGTACATCAGAGGCCGTGAAAGGGGTAAAGACCAAAGATAATTTTTACAGAGATTGTTGGCGCATTGGCAGT